CGCTCTGTTGCAGGCAGCGTTCCAATTTGGGACAGTTCGACTCCTTACCAGTTCGAACTTGTAACAGTTCGATTCTGTCCGCGTTCTGTTCTGGTACGTGTGCGAAAAAAGGACTGTTCTGAATTGAATCAGTTCGATTTTAGGTCTGTTCGAATTTGAAAACGTTCGAATTCGTCGTACCCCCCGAAAATTTGGCGAAAAATTAACAAATAAATTTCAAAAACATAATTCCGCTCGATGCCCTCAAGAGCACTTTTGGTATGCGCCTTTAACATACTGTAGCTCTAATTCCGAAAGAATCATTGGAAATATTCCGAAAATTCCTGTGATACCATATTTTTCTTATACTGTTCCGTCTACTTCGATTTTTATTCCCCTTTTTTTTCGGTCGTTCACTCCGAACACCAACAATTTTTCTCATATTTCGCTGTATCTCTTTTTATGATTCTTCAAAAACCCCCTTTTTTGACTTTCAGCGCCTATCGAGAAGTCGAACGAAATTTCGACGCGATTCTAGATCACGTCGTCAGACACCAACGAGCGAGATGCGGAGCTTCGTGCTTCTGATTCTACTCACAAGCCATTTATCAGCAGGTAAACCATTCAAGTAATTTATATGGTAAACGATAATCTATCCGTCGCATTCTTTCTCCCGAAAGTACTTTTTGATTGACGATTCATTGACATTTTGACAGATGATGTTGCAACATCATTTTACGCCCTTATTTGTGTTACAAACAAGAGATAAACAAGAGAAAACGAGAAATAGCAGTGGTTTATTAGAAGTAAAAGAAATAAACTAAGCAGTTTCTGAGCTATAAAAAACAAAACAACCCATTTATTCCAGGCTCCATCGACTGGTCATCACTCGAGACACCGCCTCAATTTACTCATGGTAAAAATGCGGAAACAGTCTTTTTCAAGGTGGAAAAAAGCGGGATGAGTGATGAGTCGGCTAAAAACATACCCGGTAATCTTCTCGAGCAAACGATTCATTGCCAGGCAATTGGAAACCCTAGACCTACGTAAGTATTTTTTGAGATAAATGTATTGTGCTTTTACAAAAAATCGGAGCTGTGGACCGAAGGCCGACGGTTTCACAACGGCAAATACCATAACCTAAAATATGTTTAATCTCCGGATTTCCTCGATTTTCGAGAAAACTTCATAAAATGCTGTGAAAAACGACAAAATAAATCTTGAAAATTAAAGTATTTTTAGGTTACCGTAGTTGTCGTTGTGGGACCTTGGGGAAAAAAACACTTTGGTCACCAAATCAGTGAAACCAAGAGTAAAAAACCCGGAGATTTTTTAATACCAGTCGGTTAACGCCTCTTTCCGGGGACTCAACCTTCTGGCTTCCGCTTACTGTATCTTACAATTGAATTTCTAATTCCGGAATTCCCCACTTTCTGAGTCCCCAAAATTAATGAATATTTGAATCTCCAAATTTCTGAAATTTCCGGATTTCTGAAAAAAAATTTCTGAATTTCGAATTTTCAGAACTTCCGATTTTGTTTCAAAACTTCCGATTTTGCAATGTTTCTCAAAAATTTCTAAATTTCGGAGTTTCTTGATAATAGAATGCCTGAATTTGCAAATTTCTAAAATCTCGAATCTCCTAAATTTCTTGAATTTCGAGTTGTCGAATTGTCGAATTATCCGGAAGTTATTAAAACAAACAGTTATTACAACAAAAAACTTTTCTTCTAATTCTGAAACATGAACTGAATTCAATGTATTGTTGTTTTTGATATGTTACAAATTATGTGTATTTTGGTGTTGATAGAAATCTAAATTATTTGATTTTCAGATATCGATGGAAGAAAGATGGAAAGACGTTTCTCCCATCAATGTTTCCCGAGAAGGTTGTTCAGAAACCAGGAGAAGGTGAGCCTGTAAAACCATCATCTCTATTGTAACTTGAATTTGTTCAGGAAGTCTGGTCTTCTCTCGTCTCGACGAAACAGACGCCGGACTCTATCAGTGTGAAGCAGAGAATTCGAACGGAACGGCTGTTGATCGGCCAGTTCGTGTTCAGGAAACTTGGATTCGCCACTTCAAAGCAGCTGAACCAGAAGTCGTCGTTGTCGAAGTTGGAGATCCGTACCAGAGAAATTGCTCACCACCTGCAAGTAATCCGAATGCAAGAGTCTACTGGATTCTGATGGGAAAGGAACCGGGCCATTTTGAAACGATTAGTAGTAGTCACATTTCCAGTAATGAACAAGTGAGTGGGGAAGGGGGTTGGAATGACATGGAAGAGCTTTCAGATCATCTCTCGTAACCTCATGGAAAATCTGTAAATTATTGTGATTACTATGAGAAACATAGATTCTACCGTATCACATTTTTATTGATGTTTCATTTAGTATGTACTTACATGAAAGGGATTGTACTTACATGAAAGAATTCTGGAAATTTTAGCGTTTTTTTTTTTCGAATTCTGAGCTGTGGTTTTTCCAGCTCGCATTTTGATACCATTGTGTTTCCTAGAATTTTTTCACTCTAAAAAATCATTTCGCGAGCTAAATTGCAAAAAAAAACCAATTTTCGGGTCCTTTCATTTTCTCTTTCTTGAGATTTGAGTATTTAGCATCAACTTCTAGTTTAGAAACTACCGTAACCTAAAAACATTTTTTCCAGATTTTCAGTCATTTTTTCACTATCAAAACATTTCATTTTCTGAAATATAACCAGAAAAATCTGAAAACCGATGAAATAAATACGGAAAACAAACTTATTTTTAGGTTACTGTAGTTGTCGTTGTGGGAACCCAGGCCACGGCCACCAGCGTTTCTCTTCCACGGCTTCGATTTTTCGCACCAAAATGATAGCTTTTGAAACAAAAAAATCATGTGGGCGCAACGATTTTCCCAATCTTCATAGTTTTGATAGTGTTTTTAGCTTTTTCACAATACGTTTTTCTCTTCTCAAGATTTTCTCAGTTTCTCGCTATGATTTGTTGCCAGAATTTTTCCAAAACTTCATAGTGTGGATACTCCGTTTCCCCCAAATCGGTGTCGTCTTTTTTTCAAGTATCCTTCTAGGAGGTCCACCTATTCAAAGAACTACATAAAAACTCTTTTGTATTGTATACATACAACTTCTATTGTTAATATGAGACGGTCCAGTGTGTATTTCGTCTCTATTCTCGATGTTTTTTGACGACTTCTTCTCGTCGCGGTACACACCTATTTGTATCTTGCCGCCCCTCATTTTCCTAGTGACACCTGCCATCATGTCCGTTGCGCAATTCAGTAGTTCGCAACATCCTTCCGCCATTCTTTCTGCGCAATTAGTTCTGTACCCCCTCTCTCTGGATGGGATGATGACCTTCGAATCCGAAAGTTTTCAGTGAAAATAGAAGAGAAGAGCATTATTCTGAAGTGAGCATTATTCTGAACTCATTAGCTGCTGTTCCCAAGAAAATTGGTATAGCATTTTGAGAAGAAAGATTGATACTGGTGTGAACCCGTCGTTTAAAGGGGGTTGATGGAAGAAAAGAAAAAATAAAGGAAACAACAGATTAGCCGCTGTTAAGTGGTTTGTTTCTTTTCTTTTTAATTTGATTTAATTGAAATTTGACGACGAGAAATCTAACGTTTTGGCGGCGTTTTGTATTTCAGAAGGCGTGACGATGCTTTTTTTTGTAAAAAGCAATCATAAACACAGTACGTTTTATGAAATGAAGTAGATGAAGAAGTCAATCTTGTTTCCTAAAGCTTTTTGTACGATCCAGATTAGTGTGTTGGCGTCGTAATTGAAGCCCTTGGACGCCCCGGATGCTTTTCCATTTCGTAGTTTTCAACCACTTCCGTTTCTCTTCCTTTCATAACTTTTGTATACCGATTATAAATAATCTTGTGCTGCTCTTTTCCTTTTTGCTTCATTTCTTCTTCACTTCACCGCGTCGTCTTCTTCATCTCCTCTCCTGGGTTTTCCGTCTCTAGGTAATTCCCCATTGAGTTGACGACGAGAAGAAGAATCAGAAGAAGACGACTGGGACGACGGAAAAGAAGGATGAAAAAGAGCAAGCGGAAGAGGCGGCGGCTAGTAGAAAACGACGCGTCATTTTGGTCCGCCGCTTTTGGTGGTGGTAGGGAGATGGTGTAGATGATGGTGCCAGCGGTTGTGGGGTGAAGCAGGAGGCGTTACCCTGAAGACGGGTGGAGGTGGAGTCTGCAGAGAAAAAGAGCGTGAAATTCAGAGAAAGCAATAGAGAAGAGAGAGAGAGAGGGATCGCGCGCGGAGGGTCTAGAGAGAAGGCGCACAAGAGTGTTTGGGGCGAGAGACCTTCTTCTGGTTGCTGCTACTGCTGCTGTGCCTCTCTTTCCTCGTTTCCACTATTGCCAGAGAGCCTTCTCAGTGGACCCGCCCCTCCTTACTTGTCCCATCACCCCTTTTTCGGCTCGGCTCGATTTCGGGTATCAATATCCCTTATCTCATTACTGCCAGCTCTCTTTTCTAGGGGCCAATTCTATGATATTCAGCTGATCCATGAGGTTACGAGAGACGATGGGCTTGGGAGGCCCACCTACCATCTTCCTCTTGCTAGGATGTCTACTGTTTCTTGTGGTACGTTTTTTGAATTTTTTCACTTTTTCAGGGAACTTTGTTCTTTCACTATGTAAATGAAACTGATTTGAAGTCTGATCGCTACTACACATGCACTGCCGAGAACATCGAGTTGAAGGATTACAAGTTCGGAAATCAGTTCAGCCTGCAGATCACCAACTATAAACGGAGAAGTTGTGAGTTTTTTATCCTTCAAATAATCCCCAAAAAGTTATAAAAACTACTCAAAATTTCCCGATGGAATTTCGGCAAATTATAAATTTTCTTTCGTTGCAAAAATTGAATCAGATCAATCAAAAAAAAATTGCTTGGGCGCCATTGTGTTGTATGTTTGCCAACAAAAAGTACACATACAAATCCCGTGTGTACTTTCACTTTTTCCACTTCCAAATGACTCAAAAATTCTGGAAAAATATTTGAAAAATCCTGAAAAAGGGAACGCCTTGTTTTCTCTTCTTCTTCTTCTCCTTTTTTGGGTTTCTTTGACTAGTATTCGCCAGATAGTGTTGCAATTGAAGAGTAGTTAATGTTGTCTCCATCCGATACTATTTTTTCCCGCGGCGGCGTCCCCGCCCATATAATCGCCGCCCGGGCGCGATGTTTACCCGTCTGCATCTCTGTTGATCCAACAATGTTGCATTTGATAGAGAGAGAGAAAGAGAATGAGGCTGGTAGAGAGGAACTAAATTGGAGAAATAACCTCCGAATTTCTACTACTCAATCACAGAAAACAGATAGGAACGGTAGCAGAGAGAATGAGACAACAACCCCGGGGTGGAAATAGGAATATAAGGTCGCGAACTTGATCACATACGGACAGGGGCTTGTTGCTACCATAACGTTGAAGTGATAGGCCCTATCAGATAGGGGGCTAGGCAAATAGAAATGATAATAATGAATGGTGATGGAACACAGTTTCTCCTTTTGTAAAGTGTGTTCTTCACAGTGTATTGCGTCTCTGTCTCTCGCAGATTACTTCGAGTAATGTTGTTAGATAAACACAAAACAAATCGGTGATGGACCCGCATAGAGAAAAGATTTCTTCACTCTCCGAAGAAACAGCTGTTGCATTCTGTGGGGTTTGCTCGGTTTTTGCCTCCTCCTTCACAAATCGACGCAACAGATTTGCCACCCGACACGGTGGGATGGATGAGAGGGCATCCATGGATTTTTTGAAAATTGGCAGATGGCTTGAGCTCAACGGTCCGTTAAATCTGGTCGACCGGAAATCGAAAAGGGCATACTGTATATAGGAACAACAATACGGTAAGGGATGAAATGTGTCAAACACCGAATTAGCAGTAGCTTAGGTTTATTCTCATCAAACATAACGGGGCTCATATTTCTTCTGGGTGCATCATCCCGGCCGCCGGAGTTGTCTCTTCTCTTCTTCTCATCACCAATCACAATTTTATTGAATTCTATTCTTCTTCTTTTTTGCGGTCATCACTCCTCTACCGCATCGTCTTCGCCCTAGTTTTTCTTCTCCATTGACGATGCTTCTTCTTCTTCTTTTTCTCAAACCCGCCTCTTCTTTTTGTGTTGGTGGTGGTGTAATGACTAACCAGTCAGTAACATATGTGAGAATGAGCCCCCTCGGGCGCTGCCAAAACTTGGCCAAAAGAAGTCGTTGCGTTCGGGGTCTTGTCGCCAATAGAAGATGGATCTTCAACTACTAAAAATGGCGGAAAGATGGCGTCGCGTCGCCCCATCTCTACGCTGATTGATCGCACTTTTGACAAGGAGGATCCCTGCGTCTTTTCAACCCAAGTGGTCTTTTTTGAGTGAGCATCTCTGGCGCGACACGAGAACAGACATCCGATACTTTTGGAAGATGGCCGGAAGCTTTGCAGGGATAAAAAAAACATTTCGAAACAGGGATTATCTGTTTGTTGCGGAACAGGAAAAGTCTCAAACGACACGAATCAGATCGTTTCCGGATGATCTCAAAAGTGAGCCAAAAAATAACTGCGACTGCTTCGCAGCCGTAACGCATCTGGAAGAGGCAGGAATTTAAAATTTTGATCAGAAGGCCAGGAATTGAAAATGTTTATATAATATAAATCTAAATTAGAGAGAAGGGCAGATGATGAAATAATCGAATTTCACTGTTTTCTTCCCCATCGATCACGAAACCACCTGCACATTTCAAAAACGAAGAAACCCATGACTGACAGAAAAATGTGTGGAACGGAATTGGGATGGGAAATGGGTTTTTAGGGTTTTGTGGAGCTTGGTATTTCAAAGGAAATGAAAGCTTGTAGGGATTTGATCTGATTCAATTTTTTTCCAAAAAAAATATTTTTGCAAAAAAAAACAGAATTCACTCACACTGACACAACGACTTCAAATCAAATTTCCCTCTATTTTCAGTGCAACAGATGCCTCCAACTGAGCAATATGTCAATCAGAGTTCTCCGATCGCACTTCAAGGAAATCAACACAAACTTCATTGCTTCTTCTCTGGATAGTAAGCGTTTTCAATTTTCTTAAACTTGCCGTAAAACCTGTATTAGAAAAGCCCTACTAATTTAAGTTCCCCCTAGAGACAGTACATGTTCTTCAATTCGATTCTCATCCCATTGACTCCCGTTAAACCGGGGATCATCATCCTTCTTGGTTGCCCGTCGCGCACGAACAAAACCAATTTTTCTGTTTCGAGCCTCCTATTGCTCGTCATCGTCTCCACTTATTTTGTCCGTTTGCTCCCGCTCAAAAACGCGCGATGGACGGCTTCTCTCTGCTCTGTCCACTTTTGGCGATTTGACGGCGCCGCCGGACGTTGCTCCAACATTGAGGCTTATTGCAGGGCCAGAGAGCAGGAGCCCTGTAGCTGTTGTTCTTTTCTCTGGGTCTCGTCTGCTCTTCTGAAACGGCGCCGTTCGGGTGGTGCCAGGTTCGGAAGAGGGTGCGTGTGTTGTCGACACAACCAATCTTTCCGGAGAGAGAAAAAGAGAGCTTAGAAGATGTTAAGATGTTTTTGATACACACGCAAACACCCGGATGTGGGCGATGACAAGGGAGCAATTGATAAGAACAGCATTGAGAGGGTTCTACTTTTTGAAATCCTGGCGTTCGCAAAGGTCGTTTGTGTTCTCGAACCACTTCCGCTAACACCGCATTTCCGCCCGCCATTGACTCTAATGAAGCGTACCTTCTTTTGGGTACCTTTTGAATGTTTCCACCTATTATTAGGTAGTCGGTAGTCCTTTCTCTCTCATTCCAATTCAGCATTGGTGCCCTCCAATTTTCACAAAGTTTTTGTTGAAGGACCGCCAGTAGTAACAAAACAACAACAAAGAAGGAGAAGAAACACAACACTCTCTCCCTCCACTCGTATACCCTTTTTTAGACTTGAGAAAGAAAGAGTGCAATTGAAATTGAAGTGTAGTAGGCTGGTCACAAAATTTATTAGTAACGGGGAGTGAGATGTCTCTCTGTTATTCCTTCTTGTTCAATTCGGTGGACCCGATAGCGATCTTGTTTTTGCTGCAATAAGACTTTGTTTCTTCTCTGGGGACACCACCAAAAGATTGTCGCGCGCTTCGAGCGTTTGCTTTTTGAAGACATGACACAGTTGAGATTTCGGTTAAACGACACTATGGAAGTCTTGGAAAAAAGAAGGAGAGAAGTGCTTGAATATTCAACCTCTTCAGCTGGAGTGAAACGTCCAGTTAATAAGTCATAGGAGATTCGTTGGCTATTCATGAGCACAACACCTGCGATTTCGGATATTGTTGCCGGAAATTGGAGAAGGAATGGGTTGAGAAGGGGAAGGTGAAGGGACATGCGTAAACAGTATCATCACAACAGTAGCAATTAAATGGGTCACTACTCAAAACGGTGCACCATTTTTCTTAACACTCTAATTAACCTATTAGTTCCGGTGAGAGAGATGCGGTCAGAAAAGGCCCTCTAATGGATTCAAATAAATGCATAAAAATTATGGGATGTCTATGTGAGAATAACAGGGAGATCGAATGTTCAATTCACAATAATGATGAAAAAAATAACAGGTTATCATTCAAAATGGGGATACCGTAATACCTGTAGTAGAAGGGTCACACTGTCAAATTTGACCTCCTATGCAAGATATCAAAAATGTGTCAACTGGTAACATTTTTTGATATTATGATAAACAATTTGTCAGTTGACATCGTTTTCAAATTTTCAACAGAAACCGAGATAAATTGGCTCAAAGTTAAAAGATACTATTTCCCTTCAGGTTTTACAGTACAACGGGATAGTTAGTGAAGCCGTCTACTACTAATCAGCACATAAAAAATAGCGAAACTTTGGAACATAATAGTAATATTCTTTTCGAGCTCATCTCGCCATCCCTGGCCCGTTTTCATATCATAATATTTTCAGCCCAGCACCAAAACCTCGATGGTACCACAATGGAAAACAAATCAACGAGGATGGCGATTCTGATGGATTCCGATTCGAATCCTATGGAAAGACACTCGTATTCAATGTGACCCAAGACAAGGCTGGAAAGTACGATTGTCGATTTGCCATGCAAAATGACATTGATCGAACTTTCAATGTTGTTGTGGAGGGTGAGTCTTTTTTTCCTGTTTCAAATAATTCGAATGACTGGGAAGATGATGTTTCCCGGAATAAAAAAAGTACTCGGACACTACCCGAATAAGGGTCGTTGCGTGGAAATTTAGATGAGGGAGTAGTGAGTTAGACTGGTTTTATTGGACAACATTCAAAGTTTCGGAATGGAATTGAGTTTTTGAGGTCAACAATAATAAATTGTAACAGAGACGAGTACAGGGACTAGTATTATATTTTTGAAAACATACTCTTCATATTAAATTTATCAATTTCATTATACTCAAAAAAAGCAAAGAAGGATTCCGAAATGTACCGTAAACCTGTAATAGAAGAGCCCCATAATGTCATGATTTGGCTGATTTTGGTTGGTTCCTGTACTATATATAAAAAATGTGTCAACTGATAAAATTTCGGTTATATTTGGATAAACAATGTATCAGTTGACAACATTCTCATCTTACTAGGGAAGGTTGTAACTGGGGTATGGGACTTTGATATGAGGCCTATATCATTCGAAAGCTGAGAATGAGACATTTTCAAATATATATTCAGATTTTGCTGCGGACATTCCAGATCCGAGAAAATCGAATTTGAAATTTTGCTGAAATTCGAATATTTTGAGGGCCAGATCTCCCCCCTTTCTTATATGCATTGTGGAACTAGTTGAAAGCAGCGACTGGTGGTGTAGCGGTGAAGAGGGAGGACGGTAACTGACTAGGGTTGGGTTCGATTCCTCTCTCCTTTGTTTGTTTTTCTTTTTGTTTTCGGTCTTTGTGGAAATCTTCAAAATGTTCCGAACACATTTTTCAAAAAAAATTTCATTTTGATACTGAAAAATTGTACTTTCTTAAATGTTTTAAGTAATATCAATTTTTTGACTATTTCGTTAATCAACACTAAACATTTTCACACAGCTTTTGTTTGTCAAAGTTCAAGGATGGTTCGTTTTAAGAGCCACACATCAATCAGACATGATTTGTGTCTATGATTTCTCAAATTTTGAGTGTTACTGGGCGATCATCGTAGTACTACGGTTTGTTGAAAATCAGAAAAATAATCAAAATGTCTTGATCCCGAGAAGAAAATAGTTATCAAATTTTGTAAAAAACCTAATTTGCTTGTTCTTTTTCGTTTAATACCTTTTCAGCCGAAAAAAAAACTTTCAAAATTTTTCAAAAAAAAAAGTCAAGGGGGTGCCCCATGGAACTTTTTTTCAAAATCTTTTCTGAAAAAAAAACGCTTAAACTTGGTCACATTGTACGGAAACTTCTAAATTTGCGATCACAATAAAAAAAAACATCCAAAATCTTTTGTAAACCATTAACTTTCTATTCTCAAAAGTCAAAAAGTGGTTTGAAAAAATGACTCAAAAATAGTTTTCAAAAGCATGTAACCACAATTTCAAACAGTTTCAGAGAACACAGTATGATCCTGTAAGTTTTTCATGTTTTTTCAAAAAAAATTTTTTTTTGGAAAAAAGTCACCATGGGGTCCCCCCTTTGCTTTTTCAAAAATGAGATTTCAAACTCGATTTTCTCGAATATGGTAAGTCCGCAGCAAAATCGAAATACATTTTTGAAAATGTCTCATTTTCAGCTTTCGAATGATATAGGTCTCATAACGAAGTCCCATACCCCACAAACAACCTTCCCTAGTTAGACAGGAACTGAGATAATTTAGCTCAAAGTTAAAAGATAGGGGCCCTTCTATCACAGGTTTTACGATAGCTTTGGTATTTAGAAGGTGGCACGAAATGGAATTTAGGAGCTACAAAATATTGAATGCAACTGAATTCAGACTTATTCAGAATTGCATTAACTCGAAAAATTATTGTGATTGAGAACGCATATTGAGTTGAAGAATAAACATCAGAAGCCCAAAAGCAATGTTGCCCATATCAGAGAAAATAAAGAGCCGTTTTTTCAGCTGCTCCTTACTGGCCAAACGGACCACCACCAAACACGAACACAAGTGAAGGAGAAAATGTCTCGTTTGACTGTACCACCTATGGAAAACCAACTCCGAAAGTGACATTCTACAAGAACGGAGTGGAACTAGGATCACAAAAAGACGATAGATACATGATTGAAGGAACCAGACTTACCATCTATGACGTCAAAAAAGGGACCTACGGAAAAGGAGACAATGCAGTTTATCAGTGTAAATCTGAAAATAAACATGGATGGCTGTGGACCAACTTCTATCTCAATCTTCTCGCATTCAAACCACAATTGCTCATTGATCCAGGAAAGGAAGAAGTTGAAGCGGTTATTGGAAAGAAGGTGACCCTGGAGTGCAAATTCTTTGCCAGTCCAAATGCAGCTGTGAAATGGGAGGCACCAATGATTTCTGGATCAAAAGGAAACCAGATCCCAGCTGATCCGCATGGAGTTGGAAGGCTCGTGTTCAGTGAGGTTTCTGCATCAGAGGAGGGAGAATATGAATGCATTGGTACCAACAAGTACGGTCAGGCCAGTGGAGTCATCACTCTGAAAGTTAGAAGTGAGTTTCTTTAAAAACCACTTAGGCCCAAAAAATTTTTGCCGAAAAATCAGGGGGTGTCAAGCCAAAAAATCAGTAAGCGTCAAACACATAAGGGTCCCCCCTTATCAAAAAGTTTTGCTCGATCCGCTCGCAATGAAAATTTCCCCCGAATCAATAAGTGCTACAGCCAAAATCACGGGGTGCTTACCCTACATCTCATGGCCTGCAAACCACTATTATTATTATCAACATTTAAGAATTTTCGGTGGTTAAGAATACCGTAAAACCTGTAATTGAAGGGCAACCACACCGTCAAGTCTGAACTCAATTATCTCAATTCCTGTGAACGATATCAAAAATATTCCAACTGAAAAAAACACTGCTGATATTATGGTTAACAATTTATCAATGAATTTGATATCTTTGACAGGAACCGAGAATAATTTTCCTCAAATGTAAACGTTAAGGGACTTTTCTATTATTGGACAACTCAGTATAGAGTTCTGTTGGCGTTTTTCAAACTTGTTTTTCCAGAACCTACGACTGTCAAACCATTTGATCGTGCGGAAGACGTCAGAATGGCTGGTGAAGAGATGCGTCTTCCATGTGACGCCACTTCTGATAGTCAGCTGGAAGTGAAACACGAGTGGCTCGTCGATGGAATCCCACTGCCAGAGGAACGTGTGAATTCTGGACACTACAGAATTGCCGATGATCACTCTCTAATCGTTGCCAACCCAACACAAGATGACAGTGCAAAATACAAATGTGTTGTTAGCACCAAGTTGGATAAGGTTGAAAAGGAAATCAAAATTCAATTCAAAGGTAACCCAAACATTCCATTCTCTCATATATTCTTTACGCTTTCAGATGTTCCTGTCGCCGTTCACTCCGCCTACGTGAGCAATTGTGATAAGAATTCCCTCACCGCGTTCATCAAATTCGATCATATTGAATCAATTCATACGATTGCTCCAGTCAAAGAGTTTTGGGTTCAATATCAAATGGATTCAGAAACCGAAGGATCACAATGGAGAACTCATCCAAGTCCATCGGCTGCCCATCCGAACGATCAGGTCACTGATCAACTCAGAACAACTTCAGGATCTGCCACTGTTTCTCTTCAACCATTCGGAAAGGTGAATCTCATTTTCATTATATCTTTTAAACATAATTTTTCCAGTATGTCTTCCGTGTCTTGGCTCGTAATTCCGTCGGCGACAGTGCCACAACGACCGTCAAAGGAATTTGTGAGACACCTGCCAAACAACCAGACAAGAATCCAGGAGAAGTTGCGGCCAAGGGAACGAGCCCTGAAAACTTGATCGTTCAATGGAAGCCAATGGCAAGAGAAGAATGGAATGGCGCGAAATTCCACTATGTCGTGAAGTACAGACCAGTTGATGAGGATCAACGAGATGGTGACTGGAAAGAGGTAGCTGTTGAGGATCCGTTCGCCGATCGTGTTACCATCAATCTAGATGATGATAAGGATGTGAAGCCATTCCAGCCTTATGAAGTTCAAGTTCAAGCTGTGAACAGCGAAGGAAGAACAAATGTTGTACCGGAAACAGTGGAAGGACGGACTGGTGAAGGAGTGCCCAGCAGTATTCCAAGCGGTCTCCGTGTTCTTGAGAAGAGTGGTACGACAGTGACACTCGCATGGAATGGAGTTGATCCAGCAACTGCTAACGGAAACTTCACAGGATACAAGATCACTTACTGGGTTGATGAAGCTGATCAAGATGTGGAAGAACCAGAAGATGATGAGGAGGAGAAGAGAAAATTCAGATGGAAGAGATCGATTCGTGCTAAGAGACAATCTGGAGTTCGGAAGACGATAGTTTTCGGACCTAGTGCAACTCAAGGAACAATCACGGATTTGAAACCGGCCACCTTGAACCATGCTTACATTCAAGTCACCAATGGAGCTCACGAAGGACCATCAAGTGATACGATTGACTTCCAGACTGATGAAGGAGGTGAGCAATTTGAAAACGAAAACTTTTAAATGACTAGAGTAGGTCACAAAATTTGGATGGCGACTGCGAAATTGTTGTGAAAACTAGAAATACCTTAAACCTGTAATCAAAGGGGCCCCATACTGTTAAGTTTCCCCTTTTTGATATCTCGGTTCCTATAAGAGATATCAAAAAGGTGTCGACTGACAAAAATTTAGTGATGTTATGAAAGACATTTTATCAGTTGACAACTTTTTGATATATTCTACAGGAAACGAGACAAATTGGCTCAAAGTTAAAAGTTAGGGGGCTCTTTTATTATAGGTTTTCCGGTATATGAGATTTCCTTATGAGAAGGTTCGATCTGAGAGGGGAAGCCCTTGAAGTTTAAAATAATGCAAACGTTTTTTTCGCATCAAGAAATGAAGAAACACTTGCATCTATTTGAATTCGTGATGAGCTTCTGTCGCTTTCCCTCAATTGCTCCTCCTTTTAACATTTTTCCACCCAACGACGACAAAAAAATAAAACAAAAATTTGCAGTTCCCTCGCCTGTCCGATCTCTTCGCGCATATCCGATGAACTCAAAAGAGTCCGACGAGAAAGGAGTCGTTGTTCTCGTTTGGAAGAAACCAAGACAGACAAACGGAAAATTAGCTCGTTACGAAGTGGAATACTGTAAGACACAAAATGGAAAGCAAGTCGAGAAGACGTGCCCACGGCAACAAATCGACGCCGATGCCAAAGAAATCAGAATCACTGGATTGGAAAATGAGACGCCGTACAGATTCATTCTGAGAGCTCACACTTCTGCGGGAGAGGGAGATCCAAACTCATCGGATGCTACTACTCTTCCAGAGACAACTGCTGCTGGAGGTATGTTCATAGGTTTACTGTACTTCTTTCCTTCTCATAATAATCAAAGAAAGATGATCATAGCAAAATGGGGGAATATATTCAAGCTTAGCTTATTTTCCACCTAGTTTCCAAAGTAGATCCATAGATATCGGCTCAGCTTACCGTAAAATCTGACTCAGAAAGGTCGGTCTTTCTATTGTTCCGAGTTACCTCCGGAGGGCCCTTCAATTAGAGGAGGTCCTTCTATATTCCTTCTAATACAAATTTTACGGTATTTTTCTCAATTTTTTTCGAATCTCCAATTTCTACCAAAACCTGTTAGGAGTTGTGAAAATGTCTACACACTACCGAAAATAGTGAAATTATCTCTAAAATAGGTTTTTGCTCAAATTCAAGTTTCTCAAAAGTCTGCTCCAAGAAAGCGGATCAAGCGGGCCGGACTGAAAGTTTCTAAAACAGCTCCGCCCTCGACATTCATACTAGGTTTCTAACCTTTTATAAAGCCAATTTGCAATCCTATAACCAAATAGACTGTCTCCTAGGAACCGAATTTCCCTAACAAAGAGTCTTCCCCCTAATTCACCAACCTTTTTGTTGTTCGCCCATGCTTCATTAGCCAGCGCGCGGCAATTCCTCTTCTTCTTCCACCTGCACACAGCATCTCTCCTCATCCTGTTCGTTTCTCGACACAAATCCTTGTTTCACTTCTGGCTCATTAGTTGAAGAAGCACACAGGAAATAGCTGGACATTGGGGTGGACATGAAAAGACAGTGAAGACGTGTGGTTCCTTCTTTTTCCTATCCATCGTCTTCTTCTTCTTCGGGTGCACTCGCAATTAGGGGGCGGAGTCAGAAGCGCCAAGGCTTGTGAGCCCAGGGGTCGGTTCTCGTCTCGTTGCATAGCCCCTCCCTCATCGCTTCGTCTATTGCACACCTATAGAGAAAGCCTCTGGCCATTCAACTGGGGGCTCAGCTGGCTGTTGCAGACGAAAAAGAGAAGTCCAATTTTGTAGTTGTTGGGCAGCATCGCCTCGTCTCTCTTTTTTTGGTCAATTCTCTTTTTTTTGGTGTGTGTGCTTCTTCTGGTACTAGATCGGCGTACTAGATATCAGAGTTTTGTTGCCGTACATCATATTCTCTTCATCGTCAACATATTGTTACTACTATTGTCCATTCCACACCGGAGACCTCCTCTTCTCCTCGATAAACCGTCACTTTCGATTCTCGCGCATTCTTTTCATAAGTGAAGAACAACAACATTGAAATTACTATACGAGAAGAACAAGAAGAACAAATGTTGCATATTCTCCCTTTTCTACTTTTTACCCATCTCCAACTGCTTTCTGCTGCCAATCCGTGTAAGTTTTTAAAAACAAATTCTTCTGTTCCTGAATCTTTCTTTCCGTTGACGACGTTCTAAACAAATAAGTATTCTCTGTGCACTGACACTTAATCCCAGTCTCTTTTCGTTTGCTATTTTGTCCTATTCTCTCATCTCAGTTTATTTCGCCTTCTTCGTCTTCCACCGTAGGACGACGACTTGAATCGATTCGAGCAAAAACGAGCACCACAAAAAAAGATGGGGGCTCACGACGAAGACCCAAGGAAGACTTAACCCATTTTGTGCAAAGAAATGAGAGCACCAGGCGCGCCGCCCGCGCTCTCAGAAAACGAGCCATGTTTTGTTTCGATGGATGGCTCCTTTCGTCTCCAGAAGAGTGTCCCCTTCTGGATGTAGACAAAGACATTTTGGGGAGCCGATTAATTAAGTTAAGAGGACTACTGTACGAGTACGAAAGACGTCGTGGGAGCAGCTCTCAGATCGGAAACCGGAGCAATGGATAGCCGGGGCTAATTGAAATTGAAGTTTTAGCTGGGGGATAAAGGCTGTCATCAGGTTTGACGACTCGAGTGTTGAATTACATCACTTCTGTCCGTCTTTTTCTTCATTCCCTTCTTTTTCGCCTGGTCATCTGCTCCCTCTCACTGACTATGAGAATATTTAACATAATGAAAAATAGACACAGGTGTAGGTTAGAGAAAACGTATCGAGAAAAGATGGAATAGTCTGAGAATAAACATCTGGATAGTAACATTATTATAAATTACAATATGTATTATTACAGTGGATCCTGGAGTGCCGAGCCTCGTTGAGAATGCTATTGGAGACAAGTATTTCAATGTTTCATTCCGCCCGGCGAAATATGACGACGAAACCCGTGCACCGGTTGGTAACACCTATGAAGTTCAATACAAACCACAGAATGGTGACGAGTGGGAGACTGTGAAGCCATCTGGTGAGTTACAGTAATCTTGAAATATATAATGTCGCATGCAAAGTAATTTTTTTTTCTGTCCAAAGCTTTTTCCAGCTTTCCAAACATTAAATTACGGTATCACTTCTTGTCTGTGTTTTTCTTCGATATCTCTCCGAGTCGATTTACCGCGAGTCTCCAAAAAAAAACTACAGCCAGAACGAGTGATACCGTAGTTTAGCGTCTGGAAATCTTGAAAAAATAACAGCTTTGGACAGCGTTTTCAAGGAGATATCTGTAGGCGGCATGACAATAAAAACTTTATTTCATTCATATAAAATTAACTTTCGAATCTAAATCATAATTTTCGCTTTCAGACGATGGGCTGACGGTTCACGTTGATGGTCTCAGCCCAGGAACCAAGTACGATGTCCGTGTCGCCGCTCTTCAAGTCGATTCAGACGGCGGAGAAACGACAAAAACGTTCTCTGGAATCTCGAAAATCACGACAACCGGAACGAGTCCAGGAGAGAGGAATCTGTACTTTATCATTCTTATCTTGCTCATCCTTCTTCTTCTGCTCATCATCATCTGCATCTGTTGCGTCGTCTGCCGTCATCGTGGACAGAACTATCCAGTGTCGCAGCGTGAACGAGAGCAAGGAAGAGAGCCGATCCTTGGAAAACCTGACTATAAGACGTAGGTTTTTTTTCAATGTGCTGAAAGATGTTGGATTTGAAAAATTCAAAAAGAAGTTCTTGATACAATTCTTGGATGAAAAACTAAATTCTTTCAGAGATGACGATGAAAAGCGATCATTGACTGGATCCAAGGCTGAATCCGAGACTGACAGTATGGCTCAGTATGGGGATACGGATCCTGGAGTTTTCACGGAAGACGGAAGTTTCATTGGTAAGTTCCAAAACATCAATGTACCATGATACGAACCTCTAAAGCTCTTCAGGTCAGTACGTCCCACAGAAAAGCCTGATGCCGGCAGAACGGCCGGAGAAAGGATCCACAAGCACATTTGTGTAATTCCACCACCTCTTCTCTTTATTTTTTAAACTCGCTTACGCTTATTTATTTGCAAGTACTCTCTAACACCCATCTTCCCCCCACATGGAACGTTTCTTGTTCATTTTATATCTTGTAGTATTTCAACCCCTGTCAGATGTTGAATTTCAATTTCCTGTCACAATTCTCCCCCCCAAATCGTCCCAATTTCTCTCTCCTGTTTCATCATTCTTCCCCGGTTTCGTGGTTATTTGTAACCGCCGTGCTGCAAAACACCATTCGTCACTAAGCGGGTAATTCCAACACAACAAACCCCATCTCCCTTCAGTTTATAATAAGCAACTCGTTGTCTCGAAAATAAGGTTTTTTCTCATAATTTTTATTCATTTTCTATGATATGTTCATCCCAAGCTCTCTTTCGTCTCTCCACAACTCAGATTCCAAATCTCGAGAACTTATCAAAAAAATGTAATACCCCTTCCTCGTTTTCTATTTTTCAATTTGTCCCCTTCTTCTTCTTATCGTCTCCTTCACTGTTTTAATTTGTTCTTGTTTCATCCCGAGTTCGAATCTTAATGATCTACCCAATCAGCTTAGATTTCAGTTGTGATTCATTTCTTCTCCTTTTTTAAACCCCTCCCCGTAATTGTGAATAGCTTTGGGTCTTTTTTCATGTCCGAACAAAAACTTGAGTTGTTTGCAAAACACAAAAAACACTATCGCTTTAAAATTTCTTCTCGTTTTTCCATTTTTCTTTCTTTCATCCCCCATCCCCCCATCATTGCCCCAATCAATCGCCTTGGTTTTTATAGAAGAGCGCAGCTTTTCCGTCTTTCTTGGCTATTAAAGAAATCAATTTTCGAAACAAAATAACGTTTTGTTTAATATGCAAAGGCATTATGCAGTAAGGTTTCACAATAAAGAATCAAAATCAAAGGAAAAGGATAAGGAGAAGGATGGGGAAAATGACTATTAGGCGGTCGTTTCTTGTAATGAGCTCAAAATATGATGAAGGTGTGAAACATCGCTTTCTTGCAGTTCATCTTCTTGATCTCCTAGTGAATCTCGCTCTTCTTGCTCTTTTCGCTTCTCGTCGTGATGGTTGATACGTGGCTTTCGGTTTGGATTGGTCAGTCGTTTGGCGATGAATCGGAGAATCTGAAAAAATTTCAATTTAGGTCATTAGTCATTTCTCTAATGATCTCACCTGCTTCCTGCTCAAATCGCACTTCAATTCGATATCTCTCAATTCGTCTTCGGTTGGATAATGACTATTTTTGATAACCTCTTTGATATACTCCCTTTGCCATCCCTTCATTCTTGTTTGCAAGGGAGAGTCCTGAAATTTTGGATTTTTGCATTTTTTGAATAAAAAATACAGTAATCCTTTAACCATGAACACTCTAATAGAAGCCTACCCAACCCACCGAATTTGAGCCCATATATCTCGCCTCCTGTGACAGATATCAAAAAGTTGTCAACTGATAGATTGTTAATCAAAATATCAGAAGTTTTCTGACAGTTGACCCCTTTTTGGTATCTTTCATAGGAAACGAGATATATGAGCTCAAAGCTAGCGGTTTGGGTGGCAATCTATTAGAGGAAATACGGTATATTTTCTCGAAAAGTTTTAGAAAATACAGTAATGCATACTTGTAAAATTCCGGGCCTGAGGAAATTTTCAAGGCCCGGGCCCGGCCCGGAAGGCCCGGTAGCAAAAATTTTGTCATTTTGAGCCAAATTTTGAGCTCTCAATACAATTTTCTCCATTATTTTTTTGTGTTTTTGGATTGTTTGTCTGTTTGATAAAAAAATATCAACAAAACTCGAAAAAAAATTTTTGATCGAAAAAAATCACATAAGGGTCCCCCCTTATGTGTTTTTTGAAATTTTCAAAACTTGTGGAATGACAGGCCCGCCGAGCCGGGCCGGGCCTCTGAAATTCGTGAAAAAGCCCGGCCCGGCCCGGCCCGTTACAAGTATGCAGTAATGTTTTTGTTTTAAAATCAAAATCTCAAGCTCACATTTTTTTGACTTCCAGAAGAATACGGATGGAATTTTTCCGTCGATGAGTGTCCATTCGACATTTTCAGATTGTCGTGCCATTCGTTATTCGATAAATCGAAATCAACACCTGATGCCTGGAATCCGAATATTGGCTTTTTGGGCTCCGTGCCATTGTTCTGAAAAGTGAAAACACATGTTAGAGAGAACACTGACGGCATTCAGTTATTTTTCCAGATTTCAATCTTACATAGTGACCTAAAAATTATTGTGATAAAACTTGAGGCTCATTGACCGTGCTTATCAGTAAACGCCAGAATTTCGCGGACAAGTATTTAGACAGAGAAGTTGGCAACGGTAATAAGTGGGTAATGGGGTACTGTACTTTGTATTGCTGTAAGTTCTTTACACGAAGGAGCAACCCCTAAATGCCATGTGAAGTTTTGTGCAGAACACTCGGAGGGGTGCAGCAGAGTCAGTTATAACGTTATCAAAACTCTCAACACAGTCTTTATAGGATTATCGATTGGGGGAACCGTTTCAATCAACCCAATCACTTACTTTAGCAAACAAATTCGTCAACAATTCGGTGGGAACACTAGCTGATAATAGATCTGGAGTCGGATTAGAAGACGGAGCAGTCGGAGTCCATGAATCGAAATTTTCAGTTTTAATAGCACCAGTGCAAGAGTTGGACGAGAAGACACCGATTGAGGTTGGGATCCAGAAGATTGACGTCGTGGAGGAGAGGATTTGTTGTTTTCAGAATTCGAATCCTCATCATTTACAGTTTCTTTCACTGAATTTGATGTTGTCGGTTGGTCATCATTTGGGTCATCTCTCAAATTGCACTGTGCTAGGGAGGCAACAAATGAAACATCCGAATAACCTTTTGAGACCTGAAAATAACATTTTTACAGAGAGTTCTGGATTGGCTCTTATTTTTTGATCATACTTGCATATCGGACCTGCCACAGTTTCTCATAGAATTCATATTTTTCTACCAACTAAATTAGATATGATATAACCCGACGAGTACTGCAAATGAAATTATTTGGAGAACTGTATCTTGTCTATGAGCAAAGTTACCAGAAGCCAAAAAATCGACCGCGTAGCTCGGATAGTTTTTGACCCGTAACTTTGTTCATATACAAGCTACAGTATTCCAAATAGTATCATTTTGTAGCACTCTTCAAGTTCTATCATATCTATCCTGAAGATATTGATTCTATGAAAGACTCCGGTTTATAAGTAACTTACTGATCTCAAAACACCTGGATTATATGAAACTTTGTTAGAATCTGATTGTTAAGTTTTGAATGTAAGAAAAATTAGAAAAAAATTTCAAAAATTTCAAAATTTTTGAAAGAAGATTCCCAATTTTCTAAAGCCTTTATTCGTGTGAACCAATTTGAAACTTACCAGTAGTGTGAAAAACTCAACGACCGAATTCTCTGGTATCCTGACGACGGCATATTTGTATTTTGTATCAGTCGACATTCTGAAGGAATACGAAGATGTTTGAGAGAGTAAGGGAGTAAGAAGAAATGCAAAAATGGGCAGAGGGAATTGATAGGGAAGCAGGTGAAGGTAGATAAGCAAATAAGCGAGTTTATTGGTTTAATTTAGGAAAACGAGAAGGAGAAAAAAGGTGATAATTATTAGTGTCTTTTGGTTTCGGTTTGTCGTAAGAGTAATAGGCATTAAACACTTATTTTAAGAATCAGTAAGAATACGGTAGAGATGTACCGGGCAGTGATGGCCTTTGATAAGAATTAAGGTCCTCTACTATTCATTATCGACCAAATTTTTGCCAATTTGTGACACAGAGGGCATTAAATAGAATTAGTTTGGTTGGAAATAGAATGAATTGAGACGCAGAGGAAAGACACTAATACAACACAACCAAATGATTTTTTATTTCTATTTCACAGTTCGACTACTAACATGTTGTAGAGGAGAATAGAAGAAATAAAAGAGAAGGGAGGCGGTGTTAAGAGTTTGGGGACTGGACTTTCTTTTGTGACCCTTTTTTCCGGGTTAAAAATGTTCGGAATTCGAATAAAAGAGAATTGCAAGATTCGAACTAGAATCAAAAAAGGACACACCAGAAAGTTCAGGTACTGAACCTCTAATAGGCTGAAGGTTCCATAACAACAACTACCGTAACCTAAAAATATTTCTATTTTCAAGATTTGGGTTCTCGTTATTCAATGATTTTGTCGATTTTCCTATTCTTCCCCAAATAAGTCGGAAATTAAAAAATTTTTGCTGTCAATGTTAGTGAAAAAATTGACTGAAAACACACGAAAATCGAAATATTATTGGGAGACGTTTGACCACGGCCACCGGCGTTTCTCTTCCAGAGCTTTGAGTTTTTAACCAGAATAATACCAAAGTGTCGTAAAACCTGTCCCTGACACTGTCAAGTTTGAGCTTAATTATCTCAATTCCTGTAAAAGATATCAAAATTGTGCCAACGGTAAGAGTTGAAAGTTAACAGTGGAGCATGTGAAAGTAAGTTAAAACATGGATATGAAGTAGGCAAAACCAGATTTGATAAATTATTTTATCATCTGTTTCTGAGAACTTCGATTTCCAAAAAAAAAAATAAGAAATTCCGAAATTTCAAAAATTACGGGCTCTAGTATGAAATTCTGGTTCTTTAAAGAATGCTGGTCCTTAGGAAAAAATTCTGGTTCTTAAAAAAATTCTCGCCTTTAGAATTCTGGTCCATTGGCAGAAAAATATAAGGACCAGCATTTTCTTAAGGACCAGAATTACCTACTCGAGCAAGCAAAAATACGGTACCCCGTTCATTCAAAAAGAAACAAAAGAGAATCAAGTTTTTCTCTCCTTAAAATAAAAGATGAATAAGAAACAAACGATGATTCCTTTTTTTGAATACCATCGTGGCTTTTTTGTGCCTATATATGTATAAAGCACCAGAGAGAGAAAGGACAACACAATTGTTGGGTTGAAAAAGGAAGAGAGAGAACAGGCAAAGAATACTAATTTGGGATGGTTGGGAAGAAGGAAAAAGAAGAATAAGAAGAAGAGCTGTTCGGTTTCTTTTTTTAAAAAGTGTCTTCTTCTCTTAAACAGTACATGAGAAAACGATTCGATTCTCGTCCAAAATTATGGGAACGCTATTTGAGAGAAGGAGAAGAAGACCTTAGTGGCTTTCTGCTTCACATTTCTCTCTCGGTTTATGTTGAAAATGATACCACTTTCTCTATAGAGTAGGAGCATTTTAAAAGAGCACTTGACGAGAGATGAAGAGACGCAGACAGTTGGTATAGGGGGATAGAAGTTGCATTTCTGGGGTTCGAAATGATGAGGGAAGAATGTTTGGTCCTTTAGAACCTCAGAACCAGGTTCGAACTGCTGTGGTATGCAGATGCGCTCTAATGAGAAGGGCGTGGCAATGTTTTGGGCTTTAGGAGTTGTCATTTGCAAAATTGAAATACTTTAGAAGGTTTAGCTTTAATTTTCTGTCGCATTGCTAATTATTTCAACCTTACTCTCTAGAGTATTTAGTGATGACCTATTTCCAAATATAACAGAGCATCTCAAATATTTGGTGGCGTCCAACAACGCCTAATTCAAATTTGGACACCTGAACAGGAACACACGAAGAAAGAAAAGAACGTTTTTACAATACCAACTAGTACAAAAGAGAATAAAAACGGGGGAAAAGAGAGTGAGAGAGAGAGAGAGAGAGGAAGGAACATCCTAAACACCCGTGTTATATAGATCTATATGTTTCTCTATGCCCTCTGTCCGTAACCAGGGAATCTATTTCGCTTTATACGATCATAAACATACGGTAAATGCATCTATCTCTCTTTCTGTTTCTTTCTTTTTACCACTCACTAACACTGCTTTTTTGTTGCAAAACGAGGAATGGAGAAGCACTAAAAATCATTATGATATGTGACGGGGTTGAGGTGAACGGAAAGGTAGAAGAGAAAAGGAATTGTTTATGTCAGAGCCAGAGAAATAATGTGAAAAGGAGAGTTCACTAATCGATTTGTTTCAAACAGAGCTGGTTTAAACTTGCAATGCACAGAGTTCGAACAACTGCGGTATGCTGTTGCGCTTCATTGAGAATGTGAAATCCACATTTTTCGCATTTTTAGTTGATTTTCGACCTCAAAATTAATTGTTTGCAATTTTTATCTAGTATCTGCTAATGAAAAATGAACATTTTGTGTGTTTTCAGTAACATTTTTCAAGAAAATTTTTCCCGAGCTTTTTCCGATGGTATGCAGGCACCGCTTAACAGCGACTAGGCAGTTCAATTTAAAGCTTTCGCGTCAAGACCAACGCTAATTTTACTACTGTAGTATTACGATTATTAGCGTTTGAGCGCTTTTACAAGACGTTCCAAAAAACACTTTCTCTAAATTTGTTTTTCATTAAAAGCTACATTAAAAAATTGGAAACTGATTTCATTCTCTTTACTGAATAAAGTTTTTTGAAAAGGTTTTTTATACTTGAGCGTTGCTCAAGTTTTGATAAATCAACAGAATTGCACTTTTTCTTTTTCGCTAAAACTTTTTTCAGATATTTTCTTAGAAACCATGAATTCTAGTGCAATTGGATTAAGAAAGAATGTAGCTAAAACGGGACAGAACTAAACTGCAGAATCGGAAGAAGAGTTTGAATTTAAAGTGTGTCAGTGGACGAAGAATTCTCGAAATATAGAAAGACGAGATGGGAGATTTCTATGAATAATGGATCGAGTTGGAAGATGAACATGAATCTGGGAATTTAAGAATTCTTCAGGAATTTAGAGATAGAGAGAGGAATCTTCTAGAATAGAATATTACAGAAGACAGAAATTTCGTTTTCTACACACTTTCTTTTTACAAACTAAAACGTTAGGGTAGAAGTAGTGGTCATAACACTCTCAACGAGTATTTTTATTCGAACAAGAAGAGGTGGCATGTAGAAGGGGCCAGTCATTGTCGACACAACGTCAGAAGTAGGGGAAAAGGTCTCTAAGTCTCTCTATTGCCATTCCAAGGCTGGTAACGACAGCAGTTTAGAGGGCTTTAAAATGTTTGGGAGACTGGGCGGAGAGAAGAAGCGACTATTTTTGGGAGAAAAGGGGATATTAGGAAAGTAGAAGAAGGAGGAAAGCGAGGATATGAAGCATATGAAATACTCTTAGCTAATGAGAAAAGGTTCACTATTAGAGGAGAGAAGAGACTAGGAGTTGAACAAGACATTTGGGGGTATTGTAACTAGAAATTTTAAGAATACGATCTTGCCATCCAGATTTTCTGAGTTTCAGCAGCATTTTACTGTTATTTTTCTTACTTTTTAAAGTACTTTTCTGTCATACTAACCATAACTTCATACCATATTTCCCTCATTAGAAGCCCACCCAAACCGTCAACTTTGAGCTCAATTATCTCGATTCCTGTGAAAGATGTCGAGTAGTGGTCAACTGATAAAAAAAAAAATAATATTATGGTGCATAATTTATTAGTTGACAAAATTTTGATATCTTTCACAGGAGTCGAGATAATTGAGCTCCCAATTGACATTGTGCTTCTACTGGAGGAAAAAACGGTACCTACAAAAAATACCAACTCGCATGAATTCGGAATCCCGAGTGTAGTAAACCTTTCTACTTCTCAAAAGTCAATCAAAAGTGAAATTCAGATATATAAAATGTCCAAGTCTAAATGGTCCCCTTAAAAACGTTTTGAGAGACATGAACAGGAAAGTAAAGAGCAAAAAAGGGGTTTTTGGGGTTGGATTGGCGTAGGCAACAATTTTCAAAAGTTGAGTGGTTTAGTACATATTCAATTGGGGAGAAGAATAGGGAGTGAAAAAGAGAATACACTAGTTTTGGGGAGAAAACGAGAGGGGAATACAGTTGGAAAAGGTAGTGTGGACGGGGAAAAGGAAAGGGACGATCGGGATTACGAACATGGATTAGGGGACAAATGAAGAGAATACGTAGAAGAGAGAAAAAGGGTAATATAGTACAGTAAGGAGGAATGGATGAAATGGAAAAAGAAGAAGGAAGGCCATTATGAAGTGGAAGAGAAGAGTCCTTACGACTAGATGATAGGCAGAAAATGGAGAAAGTTGATATTAAGAGGAAAGTTGATATTAAAAGATATAGGAATAAGAAGGCGTTGCTATGGAGTGGAGAGGTGTAAGCAGCAAGAGGCGGAAATTAGGTTAAGGAAATAAGAGTGAGTTGGGAACTTATTTATCTCGGAGATATGAGAAGACAGCTAATGTAAAAGTAACTCATAAGAATGAGTTACTCTGATAGAACTTGAGTAAGTGCTAGCGTAAATGGGCGGAGTTTGGAGATTCTCTTGGGACGGCATTCAACTTGCTGCTTTGAAAGGGCTGAATGATAGATAAATACTGATAGAAAAACTACCGCACACAAAAAACGTTGAACTTCTGTAAATACCCAATTTTTTGGTATTACTCTGGTCTGATTTCTAACTCGAGAGTGGGCGGAG